ATTGGAAAGTAACGAGAAAGCATGTACAGCAGCCCCTGTGATGCCAGATGAGGAGTCGGATGCAGAACTTGACAGGTATGGGGCCAGAAACTGTTAGGAAATGAGAAATAATGGAAAATGATGCTCTTAAGAGCAGACGTGGGGAGAAGGGAGCTATCGGTAGCTGCATTTCTTGGCAAATCTGTTGGTTTTTGACCTTGTTCAGCTGAGTGCTGTGCAGCAGAGTAGGACTTTGTGTAGGCAATCGCAAGCAAGGTGTTAGTCAATAGTTTGAGCAAAGCCTGTGTCTCCTGCAACCATTGTATTTATTCCATTTGACTTGGGCACATGTTTCTTGCAATTATGGATATATCTACACATTTTAATTATTCTGCCTTATTCTATCACTTTACCAATGCATAAACAAATCTCAAGAATTGCCTTTAGTCTCAGGGTCACCTGACTCCTTCCTGCACTTGACCAGGAGGTCCAGTTCCAGGTCTGGTTACAGAACTGCTCTTTCACTGAGCTTTGGGGTAATTGATAGGACTTCCTAAGCAGCCCTTTCAGCCTGGGCTTCAACAGTGCTGCTGGATGATGCAAGAGTGGCGGTGTTATTACAATGTGTGTGCTGGTTCTTTCCCTTTTGTGTGGGTAGCTGGGGAAAGGAAGACCATCTATACCCCACTGACTAAGTCCTGCCTTTATTTCTTTTACAGCGATGATGACCTCATACCTTACAACATGTCAGAGGATAAAGAACTGAGAACTAAGGCTCCTGTGTATATCAGAGACTGTATTGAAGGTGGGAGGTTTTGAGCTGAGTCTATCTTTTGGGAGACTGGTCTCTCTGTAGGTTTGTTTTTTCCTGAGCTAATTTGAAGAGGCTCTAGGATTTCAATAGTCTGAGCTCAGGTGTTGCACTGTAATTTCTGAGTAATTTCAGTTTAATTCCTAATGCCAGTCATGTGCTGGGTCAGTGATATCTGCCTACAGCAATACAAACTATTGGCAGAAGAAAGTTGGGAGTGTATACTCAGGCACAACCATTCTGTTAATAGCTGTTGTTTGTCTTTTGATTACTTTTAGTCCTGACAGGATCTGAAGATGTGGACAAATGGGAAGCTACAATCAAGGCTCTTGAGAGCTTGGTTCGAAAGAATCCAGCAGCAACAAGAGAGGTGAAGTAGTATGAGCTAAGTTACCAGTGAGCTGTAATACAGAATTATCCCTTTGCCCTCCTGAAGAGACTAAACGTACCGACAGAGCAGTAGGCCAGACTAATGTGTATCTGGATTTAAAGCTTTAATCTAGAGAAGGGAAATAGAAGAAAATAGTTGCTTTGGAGGTGAAGCTGCAGAGCACAGAGGAACGAAGAAGCAGGCAAAGTTGCTGGCAATAGCTGGCATTTAGCAACTCCAGCACTGAAAATGAAATGCATTGCAAGTAGAGCTTGCCAGTAATGTGAGGAAGCAAAGGAAGCTCCATGCTTCTTGCTGGGCAGAAGAAACAGTAGAAATTAAGTTTACAGAGCAGCAAATTGCACAGACCAATTGATTTTCATTTGGGATATAACTGATTTTGAATTGAAATGGAATTTAATTGTTATTCCCCAACAAAAAGGGGGATAAAGTCAAATGGGCTTTCCCTATTTGCTTGTACAAGCATAATGTCTTCTGGAGGGAGTAGTTGGATTGTACTGGTCAAGATGAAAAGCTCAGGTGAAAGGAACTTGGGACAAGGTCACTGGTGTGATGAGTGCTCACCACCCCTTGTTAGTGAACTGCCACTTGAAGGTGGCAGAGATACAGGCCCCTGCCAGCTGAGAAAGGGAAGGGGTGTAGTTTGGTAAACAGTGTACAATCTGCTACGCCGTGTTACTGAGCTGGGTGGGCTTTGGATGTGGTACTGTACCCCTTAACCCATTAGTTGTGACGACAAGTCCTCCTGTCTCACGATGCCACCACTTGTCCAAAAAGCCAAAGTGAATGTGGACAGAGAAATCAGCATAGGGGTTTGTTCAGTGTTTTGGGAAATCTGTCTTGGTGGCATCTAGCTTAACGTGTTTTCTCTCCTTCCAGAGTATGTTGCCTATATTCCATACCCTGATTGTCTTTGCTTAAACATTAGAAATGGTGTGTAAATCCTGTGAGAAGGAAAACACTTGCAGGGATTTAATTCCTTTTTTCATATTTTGAGAAGGTTAGTGTGGAACTGGCAAAAATACTATTGCATCTGGAGGAGAAGACCTGTGTTGAAGGCTTCGTGGAGCTCCGTCAGAGAGCTCAAGTAGCTGTTTTAACCACAGATCCCATACCTGTGAGTTTCTCTTTCTGCTTTCCTTATTCCAGTTGAGGCGCAGACAAAAATTTAAGCAGCTGAAATCTCTTGATAGAAACAGCTATCAGAGTGTGGTGGAATAGCTGGTTCATGTCTGAGAGCATTTATGCAGAGACAGACTATGTACTGAAGAATCTGCAATGGATCCAACAACAGGAAAGATAAAACTGTCAGAGTTGTGACAGACTGGAGGAACTGTTGGGAGACTGTTAGTATGAATGTACCAGACAAGGCAAATTAGATTGCACTGAAAGGAGATTGTTTAATGTAAAGGAAAGTTGTACTGAAGGGAGATTGTTTCAACAGAAGCTGAGGCACAAAGGGCTTCTCTAGAAGAAGACTTGACTGGTGATTGTAATGATAGAATCATAGAATAGTTTGGGTTGGAAGGGACCTTTAAAGATAGTCTACTTCCAACCCTCCCGCCTTGGGCAGGGACATCTTCCACTAGATCAGGTTGTACAAAGCCCCGTCCAACCTGGCCTTAAACACTTCCTATGATAGGGCATCCACAACTTCCCTGGACGCCCTGTTCCAGTGTCACCACTTTCATAGTAAAGAGATTCTTCCTTATGTCCAATCTAGATCTATCCTCTGTCAGTTTATAACCTTTACCCCTTGTCCTGTCAGTATGGGCCCTGGCAAAAAGTCTCTCTCCATATTTCTCATACACCCCTTTTAAGTATTGAAAGGCTGCAAGAAAGTTTCCTTTGAAGTGCCAAAGCTGCTGTGACAGTTGTTTGGGTACTTCTGCGTAGAAGGGACACAAGAATGGCAAAGTCCTGTTTGTCATTTACTTCTTTGTGAGAATCTGTAAGTGGAAGTGTCTGAATTTCCCCTATTTGCACAACGTGTGTCTTCCCTTCTCTTAGAGGCTTGTTGTTAACAGGAAGCAGGACTTCTCCTGAAATTGAGTGCTTTTAGAATGAGTGGGAAGACTGTTTCCAGCCTGGTTTGCATTCATTGCACTTTGATTTTTCTGTACAGGTGGCAAAGTACTTGACCTCCCAATTCTACTCTCTGAATTACAGTCTTTGTCAGCGCACGGACATTCTCGATGTAAGTGCTCTTCTCTTCACTTCCCACTTTCCTTGTGTCTTTGTTGTACCAGTACTGTTTCCCTGAGATGTATTGAGGTTACCTTTTATTCCTCGTAGGAGGAGACAGAAGCATGGGAATCTCTTACGTTAGTATCTGTGCCTGGCATTCTCCTCTTGTTCATAACCCTGCTATGCTCCAATATACAGCAGTCCTTCCCCACAGAATCCCAAACATATGATGTCATTTGCCTAGGAGGAGCCACTGTTTCCTCACATGTCATCAGTCTATTGTATCTTTACTTTCTGAAAGACAGCAATCTGCCTGTGACTCCTACATCATTTCACTTACTGTGTCTGAGGAAGGAGCCACTGTTCTGTTTCAGGGCTAAGTGACCAAGTACTTGGTCAATAGCTCGAGCCAGTTGGTTGTCTGGAGGTCACTTACCTCAGTGTTCTTAATTATAAACCTGTCTTTCTGCCTTGCCATTCCTATTAGTTTGGGTCCAGGTAACTCTGTTGTTATTGTTCCCTAGTACAAGGATTACTCCTTTTTAACTGAACCTCCCTCTTTTTCATCTAGATATTGGTTTTGGCAGCTCAGGAACTGTCCTGTCCCAAATCTCATGGGAAGGCCAAGCATTCTGGTGCCCAAAAACCTTGTACCCAGCTCCTTCCTGGAAGTGACAGCTCTAAGGACTGGAGAAGAATTGTTGATGAAAGGATCAAAAGCAAGACTCGGAGATTTGCTACGGTGAGGCCAGGGCTGAAACAAACTAATGTCAAATCCAGCAAAAATAGGGACACTAGGAGTTGCTGTAGTTCTACCCAGAAAGAGCAAAATACCTGTGAAATTGAGCCCAACCCAAAGGAAAGACTTAAAATATAAATTTTAGTATCTGGCTGAATCTTTCGGTGCAGAGTACTGTGTTCCTACAGTCCTCTCCCAACAGGAAGAGGAAAATAAACCTTGAACTTCTTGCCTTGCGTTGAGGGATAGTTGTTGCTGTTCTATGCTTGTTCTGAGCTTGTCTGGCCGCTGCAGGGAGCTGTGGCTGCACCTCACAGATCCCTGAGCCTCCTCCATCAGACTAGCTGCCTCTGGACTGGACTGTTTCAGCCTTCCTGTTTTTGAGGGAAATAGATCGATGCCAGTTTCCTAGTTCCCAGAACTTCCCTCTGGTTCATCCTGGTGAACTTGCTTCCAAAATTCCTTTATTTCTTTGCATGTTCTTGTTTTTTATATCTAACCCAGCAGTACTGAGCTATATTGTACTGGAATATTTAGATGTGTGAGAGGATCTGAAGTGGGGAGTGAGCCATCCAGTCTGGAAACTAGTAGCAGTAGGTGCACAAGCAAGCGTGGCTGACAGTGGGATGGCTGCAAGGAACCTGTAGTCTTGACAGTGTCCAGTGAAGTGGAAGACTCAAATGCTGCATCTTGTGTCTAAACTTCATTTTTCTCTTGGACAGGGTAAATCTCATGTGGAACTGGCTTCTGGCCCAAATGAGTTCAGTTCTGTTGCTGGGCACTTCTTTTTTCCATTGATTCAGCACTTTGACAGGTAAGTATGGACACCTTGGGATGTGGGCCTGGCAGCTGCCAGAGTGACCCTTTCTGCTTGTTCAGAGCAGTAGGCCAAGGCCCAGAAGCTGTGCGGGAGTCTGGTGACACCATGCTGATGCCTGGCTTGTGCATAAAGCTTAGAAGGGAGGGGTTTGTGGTCTCTTGGACTTACCAAACTTGTACTAGGAAGGCATATGTAAGACCATGTAGAAGTGAAGATACATTATGAAGAATAACCCGTCAGCAAGCACATGGGAGGATGATTGTGGCAGTACCAAACCAGTTGTCTTGGCTGTCCTTCCACCTTGGGAGGTTCACACAAAACTACAGAGCTCAGACTGCAGTCTGATACTGTCTCAGGTTTTGACCTGTCACCTGGACTGGTCCTTGTGACCATGTTATTGGATGCAGGGCACTGCAGTCACTTAAGTCTTTGCTTACCTAAGGAAGGCTGAGCAATTAATTCCATGAGAGTCGAGATTCTTGTAATACCAGTCTTAATGGTTTGTTTCTAGTATGGTGCTAGCTTTTGCATGCAGTTCTTTCTAAGTAAAGCCTGGGTTAGAATAAGTGATACCTGCTGTAAGAGTGAAGGATATTACTGGTCTGGGAGCAGAGATAAGAGCAAACAGCTGTGGCCTGTGTTAAACTGGGAATGACTATAATGACTGTTATAGGGATTCAGGCTTGTGGGGGACAGTTCACCCTGCATAACCACCCTGACTGCTCCAAAGATGCACTGATCGGCCTTCTCACTGCACAGCACTGTGTGTCTTGCACTTGCAGGCCTTTGACAACATTTGATCTCTTGGGGGAAGATCACTTTGTCCTTGGAAGACTGGTCCACACTTTAGCAATCCTGATGTACTTGGCTGTCAACACTGTGGTAAGAAATGCTGCATGATATCTCCTGGAGATAGCAGGAGAGACTTCCAGCCTGGGAACTCAGAGGTGCCTTCTGAAACAGCCGTGTGCTCTAGGGCCTGCTACAGTTAGGCTGGCAGCAAGTTTGAGTCACGTGTGCTGAGAAGTTCTGAAGAGGGCTGAGAAAAATGGTCAGAAAGGAAAGATGGGGTTCAGACCCCCCTGTACTATCTTTTGCTGCTTCTGGTAGAAAAACTGTCAACTTCAGTGGGAAGTTGGGCACATCATTTCACTTTACTGGATAAGTTTCCTCATCCGTAAAACAAAGTTAATTGTAACCCTGATGTTGACAACAGTATATCTTCAAGGTCTAGATCTGTAGGGTGGCGTGGATGTGAAGGTATTGAGTGTTTCTGTTGTAATCCTGTTTTGCAGGCAGTTACTGCAATGGGAAAGGCACTGCTGGAGTTTGTTTGGGCTCTGCGTTTCCACACTGACTCGTGAGTTGTAGTTATATGTTTCATAAGGGCCACAAAATTCTTGAAAGGTTCAGAGGGGAAGCCGTATGAGGAGAGGATGGAGTTGCTTGGATTGTTCAGCCTGGAGAAGAGGAGACTGAGAGGAGATCTCCTGGGGGTCTAGAACTTCCTCCCAAGGGGAAGAGGAGGGGCAGGCGCTGATCTCTTCTCTCTGGCCACCAGCGAATGCCAGGAGCAGAGGAAATGGCAGGAAGATGTGGCAGGGGAGGGTGAGGTTGGCCATGAGGAAAAGGTTCTTGAGGCAGAGGGTGGTGGAGCCCTGGAACAGGCTCCCCAGGGAGGTGCTCATGGCACCAAGCCTGACAAGATTCCAGCAGCATTTGGCCAAGGCCCTCAGGGACATGGTGTGAATGTTGGGATTGTCCTGTGCAGGGACAGGAGTTGGACTCGATGATCCTTGTGGGTCCCTCCCAGCTCACAACATTTGATGATTCTATGATTTCTAAAGATCAGCTGTGAGCCAGTCTCCAGCCATGGTTTAGTCTTTGTCCAAGACTAGCACCAGACTGAGAATCAGTGACTTACTGCATTAACTCTACGCTCTCCTCCAGCCTTGTGTTCTTACCACTGAGTATTGCAGGAATATGTAGTGAAGACATTGCTTTAGTGTCAGGCCAACGTATGAACTCAACTGCTGTTTTCTAATGTGGAGGCAGAGTCATTACCTTTAGAAAGCAGGACAAATTTCTTGATCAACTATCCATGTGTTAGTTTAATCTCTGTTTACTGAGGGAGCTCAGAAAACTTTTGATTCAATTCCAGCGTTCAAGCCTGGAAAGAAATTAAGATGTGTAGGCAAAACGCTGTAAACTTCTAATTTCTGTTTTGATCTCAGACTCATCCAGGACTGAATTATGCTGGACTCCCTGCCACACAGCATGGCAGGGGCTCTGTATGTGAGCACTCTGCCAGCTGGTGCATGATTACACTCCTAATTGGCAGGAATATGGTAAAAGTCATCATAATCACAAACATTTGAAACTGGAGAACCCCTGTGGTGAGGAAATCAAGGTGGAGCATGAAGCTGCAAGCTCTAACCAGTTCCGCCTTTCTCCAACAGGTACGTGCGCCAGGGTCTTTTGTCCTGTATCTCCTCTGTGCTCCTCAGCATTCCCTCATCATTCCTGCAGAGCATCTTCTGGAAGACATGACAGAAGAGCTTTTGGAGACTCAGTCCTGGCTGGGAGGTAAGATGTGGTGGTGAATGCCAGTGTTGTTTTGGTTAGTGTGCAGCTTGGTGCAGCATCTATTTAACTGTGATGGTAGCAGTAACATCCTAGTGTTGTGCACCAGAGATTTGCATAAGTGGTTTTATCCCTTGGCTGTAAGTTTAGAGCAAATACCAGACCACAGTGTGTGATGTACAGATGTATTCACTGGGTGGGAAACTGGCTGGACAGCCGGGCCCAGAGAGTTGTGGTGAATGGAGTTAAATCCAGCTGGTGGCCGGTCACAAGTGGTGTTCCCCAGGGCCCAGCACTGGGGCCAGTTCTGT